ACTCTCCTACGGACTCTCTATCAACAAGACAACTAGGTTGTCGTGTACATCGTACATGGCGTGGGTAAAGTTGTCAACCAGCCTTCTTCTACTTTCTTACCGTCCCTCTATCAACAAGACAACTAGGTTGTCATGTACTTCGTACATGGCGTGGGTAAAGTTGTCAACCAGCCTTCTTCTACTCTCCTACCGACCCTCTATCAACAAGACAACAGAGGTTGTCATGTACATCGCACATGGCGTGGGTAAAGCTGTCAACCAGCCTTCTTCTACTCTCCTACCGACTCTCTATCAACAAGAAAACAAAGGTTGTCATGTCCATCGTACATGGCGTGGGTAAAGTTGTCAACCAGCCTTCTTCTACTCTCCTACCGTCCCTCTATCAACAAGACAACTAGGTTGTCATGTACATCGCACATGGCGTGGGTAAAGTTGTCAACCAGCCTTCTTCTACTCTCCTACCGTCCCTCTATCAACAAGACAACTAGGTTGCCATGTACATCGTACATGGCGTGGGTAAAGTTGTCAACCAGCCTTCTTCTACTCTCCTACCGACCCTCTATCAACAAGACAACTAGGTCGTCATGTACATCGCACATGGCGTGGGTAAAGCTGTCAACCAGCCTTCTTCTACTCTCCTACCGTCCCTCTATCAACAAGACAACAGAGGTTGTCATGTACATCGCACATGGCGTGGGTAAAGCTGTCAACCAGCCTTCTTCTACTCTCCTACCGACTCTCTATCAACAAGGCAACAGAGGTTGGCATGTACATCGCACAGGGCGTGGGTAAAGTTGTCAACCAGCCTTCTTCTACTCTCCTACCGACCCTCTATCAACAAGACAACAGAGGTTGCCATGTACATCGCACATGGCGTGGGTAAAGTTGTCAACCAGCCTTCTTCTACTCTTCTACCGACCCTCTATCAACAAGACAACAGAGGTTGACATGTACATCGCACATGGCGTGGGTAAAGTTATCAACCAGCCTTCTTCTACTCTCCTACAGATCCTCTATCAACAAGACAACAGAGGTTGCCATGTATACATCGTACATGGCGTGGGTAAAGTTGTCAACCAGCCTTTTTCTACTCTCCCACCGACCCTCTATCAACAAGACAACAGAGGTTGTCATGTACATCGCACAGGGCGTGGGTAAAGCTGTCAACCAGCCTTCTTCTACTCTCCTACCGACTCTCTATCAACAAGACAACTAGGTTGTCGTGTAAATCGCACATGGCGTGGGTAAAGCTGTCAACCAGCCTTCTTCTACTCTCCTACCGATCCTCTATCAACAAGACAACAGAGGTTGTCATGTACATCGTACATGGCGTGGGTAAAGTTGTCAACCAGCCTTCTTCTACTCTCCTACCGACCCTCTATCAACAAGACAACAGAGGTTGTCATGTACATCGCACATGGCGTGGGTAAAGTTGTCAACCAGCCTTCTTCTACTCTCCTACCGACCCTCTATCAACAAGAAAACAAGGGTTGTCATGTCCATCGTACATGGCGTGGGTAAAGTTGTCAACCAGCCTTCTTCTACTCTCCTACCGTCCCTCTATCAACAAGACAACTAGGTTGTCATGTACATCGCACATGGCGTGGGTAAAGTTGTCAACCAGCCTTCTTCTACTCTCCTACCGTCCCTCTATCAAAAAGACAACTAGGTTGTCATGTACATCGTACATGGCGTGGGTAAAGTTGTCAACCAGCCTTCTTCTACTCTCCTACCGACCCTCTATCAACAAGACAACTAGGTCGTCATGTACATCGCAAATGGCGTGGGTACAGTTGTCAACCAGCCTTCTTCTACTCTCCTACCGTCCCTCTATCAACAAGACAACTAGGTTGTCATGTACATCGCACATGGCGTGGGTAAAGTTGTCAACCAGCCTTCTTCTACTCTCCTACCGACCCTCTATCAACAAGACAACAGAGGTTGACATGTACATCGCACATGGCGTGGGTAAAGTTGTCAACCAGCCTTCTTCTACTCTTCTACCGATCCTCTATCAACAAGACAACAGAGGTTGACATGTACATCGCACATGGCGTGGATAAAGTTATCAACCAGCCTTCTTCTACTCTCCTACAGATCCTCTATCAACAAGACAACAGAGGTTGTCATGTATACATCGTACATGGCGTGGGTAAAGTTGTCAACCAGCCTTTTTCTACTCTTCTACCGACCCTCTATCAACAAGACAACAGAGGTTGCCATGTACATCGTACATGGCGTGGGTAAAGTTGTCAACCAGCCTTCTTCTACTCTTCTACCAACCCTCTATCAGCAAGACAATAGAGGTTGCCATGTATACATCGCACAGGGCGTGGGTAAAGTTGTCAACCAGCCTTCTTCTACTCTTCTACCGACCCTCTATCAACAAGACAACAGAGGTTGTCATGTCCATCGTACATGGCGTGGGTAAAGATGTCAACCAGCCTTCTTCTACTCTCCTACCGACCCTCTATCAACAAGACAACTAGGTTGTCATGTACATCGCACATGGCGTGGGTAAAGTTGTCAACCAGCCTTCTTCTCCGCTTCTACCGACCCTCTATCAACAAGAAAACTAGGTTGTCATGTACATCGTACACGGCGTGGGTAAAGTTGTCAACCAGCCTTCTTCTACTCTCCTACCCACTCTCTATCAACAAGACAACAGAGGTTGTCATGTACATCGTACACGGCGTGGGTAAAGTTGTCAACCAGCCTTCTTCTACTCTCCTACCCACTCTCTATCAACAAGACAACAGAGGTTGTCATGCACATCGTACATGGCGTGGGTAAAGTTGTCAACCAGCCTTCTTCTACTCTCCTACCCACTCTCTATCAACAAGACAACAGAGGTTGTCATGCACATCGTACATGGCGTGGGTAAAGTTGTCAACCAGCCTTCTTCTACTCTCCTACAGATCCTCTATCAACAAGAAAACAGAGGTTGACATGTACATCGTACATGGCGTGGGTAAAGTTGTCAACCAGCCTTCTTCTACTCTCCTACCGACTCTCTATCAACAAGAAAACAGAGGTTGACATGTACATCGTACATGGCGTGGGTAAAGTTGTCAACCAGCCTTCTTCTACTCTCCTACAGATCCTCTATCAACAAGAAAACAGAGGTTGACATGTACATCGTGCATATGTGGGTAAAGTTGTCAACCAGCCTTCTTCTACTCTCCTACAGATCCTCTATCAACAAGAAAACAGAGGTTGACATGTACATCATACATGGCGTGGGTAAAGTTGTCAACCAGCCTTCTTCTACTCTCCTACCGACCCTCTATCAACAAGACAACAGAGGTTGTCATGCACATCGTACATGGCGTGGGTAAAGTTGTCAACCAGCCTTCTTCTACTCTCCTACCGACCCTCTATCAACAAGACAACAGAGGTTGTCATGTACATCGTACACGGCGTGGGTAAAGTTGTCAGCCAGCCTTCTTCTACTCTCCTACCGACTCTCTATCAACAAGACAACAGAGGTTGTCATGCAAATCGTACATGGCGTGGGTAAAGTTGTCAACCAGCCTTCTTCTACTCTCCTACCGACCCTCTATCAACAAGACAACAGAGGTTGCCATGTACATCGTACATGGCGTGGGTAAAGCTGTAAACCAGTCTTCTCAAACGCCTTCAAAGTTCAAACTGAAGAATTTCTTAAGATATTTTATACTACTGAAACAAATATATACTCATGATATAGTCACAGTTGTACAATCGACTCTTTATCATTTCTTATGGATGTGGAAAAGGTTTTGTTTACTTCAATACACATCTTATTAGACATATTGTCTTTGAAAACACCATATTCAACACTTATTTTGATGACATATGTTCTCTGCCAACAACGGCGCAGCAGTGGCTGAGGCCGGGAATCTGATCCTGTGACCGGCACAGGCAGATGTTTACATCAGTTAGTAATATTCAAATAATGTCATGGAGGCTGTGCACCAAGGATGGGCTTTACACGTTACACCAGTGAGAAGAATCCCGAGTGAGTGAGTGAAGGAGTTGAATTAGGGAGGTAAGTCATTTGTGATGGAGTGCGTGAGTTATCAAGTACTGAAGAAGACTGTGCATCCCATAATGACTCTCCATGACATTTTGTGGATAGTCTCTCATGCTCTCTTCCTCACCAAAATCCAGAAATAATGCGACTTTTTTAAAACTGAAGGGTCTGCATAAGTCTATAATTTCAGTAAGAGCTTCATATCTTCCTTGGTGGGTTTAGGGTAGCCTAGTGGTGCGTTAATATTGGTTCGATTCCCCACATGGGTACAATGTGTGAAGCCCATTTCTGGTGTCCCCCACTGTAATATTGCTGGAATATTGCTAAGAGCAGTGTAAAACCTTACTCACTCACTCACTCATATCTGCCTTCAATAAGAATGAAAAAATCAGGTCTTACAAATAAACTTTTCAAACTAAATTGATTTTTCCTATGCATTAAATGTTGTGATTTCTCATGCTAAAAGGCATTTCCAGTTATAGATGGGAAAGTTCGCAATGAGACAAGTGAACTGGAGACATCTTCAATTGAAACATACAACTTTATGGAAGACCGACTGAGTGAGTTTAGTTTTACGCCGCTTTTAGCAATATTCCAGCAACATCACGGCAGGGAACACCAGAAATGGGCTTCATCCCATGTGGGGATTCGGAAGGTCTTGATGAGCTTTTAACCACTAGGCTACCCCACCGCCCCAACTTTATGGAAGACAACTTCTTATTAAATGTCATCCATAAAGCTTGACTGGCAACTCTAGAATGCCAATCAAACACATGTCGACATCTTAGTTGCTTCTCTTGCCACAGAACAATGTAATCTGGGTTTTGTTTCCTAGTGTCATGTCATTCAAACCTTGCCAGTCATTCCAAGTTCTACTTGGGACAATTTGCATTTGTGACAGGACAGGGTAATTGTTGTATTGTAACAGTAATATTAGGTTGCACAAAGAACGCATGGTTACACAAAGACACAACAAACCAGACACTGAGTAGAGTAAGTGTTTTATTCGTGCAGAAACGAGCATACATAGTGTTTTATACATCACGGATATTGCAGCTAAGCCACGAGCCAAATCACACTTACAGATTAAGCTTGTAGCACACATGATTGAAGACGCTGGCAGGCCAGCTATACAATAAAATACAGTGGTACTAGTCGTCAAATGCAGTATACTGTGCACCTAGAGTGGCAGGACACGTTACAGTGTGGACTAGACATTGACACAACCTAAAGGTGGCGGGCCCTACCACTATTCACTCGCTAGAAACTCACCACAATTTTCAACTATTGTAATTTCAGAAATTTCATCTTGGTCGTTCATCCCCAAAGAATGCATATAGTAATTTGTGGTTCAATTATGCAAGCGTAACACCTCGCCTCTATGATTCCACTTCCCAGAGTAAAAGCCTTCAATATCTATGTACACAATGACCTTCTGCAGGCCCAGCCACCATTTCTCAACTACACATAACATGAAAATGTCAATTGACTATGTACAGTTTACTAAAACAGAACAAAATTAGGAAGCAATACACAGTACTATCTGCATGGATTATTACTCGTAATAAATTAAATTACAATATATTGTCGAATATGTATAAGCGCTTGTTTCAATAATGGAAATAGGTTGGGAATCGTACAATAATAAACTACAAAACATTGTCATGAAAGACTTATTGAATCGTGATGAAAACATTCAATATGATAACAAGCAAATTTCATCACAGCAACACCCATTTTACACAATCTGCATCTGAACCAGTCTGTCGACGTGTGGAACATTTCTGGATGGTCCAAACTTTCAGGTGTTCAGTCTTACAGAAACTAGATATGTTTCAAGGAGAAGGTCAAAGATGTCAGCACAGAGAAATAGCTCTAGAACCAGTTTTATAGAGAAACAGAGGAACGACTGATATGACTACACATCTCACTATACAAGTGATAATATTTCTCAGTTGGTGGATAAAACAGACTAAAACAGCAATTAGCCGACAGTCCAGAAATGTTCCAGTGTGTCTCCCTGAACAATTCAAAGCTGAAACAGAACAAGATGGAAAAGAGAATCTCTCAATCACAGCACACCTCTGTCTCCTCAAGCTCCAGGGCGCGATCGAATCATGAAATTAAAACAATTCAAGCAAATTCCCCCATCACTAACTGGGAGAGAATGCATACTGTATTTCAAACATACACATAAATAGTTCAATACTCATCCATACCACCTTACATTACAAAGTATGCCCTCCAAGTTCTCGGGCCATCAACAGGCAAAGATCTGTAGAATTCAACATTGACAAAATCATGATGTCTTCAACAACACGCACAGTGACATGGTAGATACTGCGGAAAGCACAATCAACAACGAGTGGTTTTGTCTTCAAAAGCTCTTCATTCAGAATTTGTTTCACAGCTGGTTATGTGTTTATTTTTCAGTCCACACAACACATCACAATATCACAAACTTTTCCATCAGAATATAGAATGATCAATTTCAATCAGAACACTTGTTTACAGTTCAGACACTGAACAGCTGTGTCAAAGTCTTCATGTGATATAGAATCATTTTAAAAGACATGTATTACACTTACTCAAAATCAGACGATAGGTTTCAATCATAACATGAGTGTTTAAAAAATTCAGATTTTGAACAATTTGTGTCAAATTTCCACATGAAATTTAACCAATTTGAACAGAAATTGACAAAATTTGTCATCAAAATCAGACTCATTGACATTTGATTATGCTGTCCCTGATACACCCAAAAGTTAATCCTTTCCAATTCATCGAAAAGAGTGTCTCCACGTATTCAGTATTACAATACTGGGGGTTCAACAACTTCTTTGGCAAATCCTTCCTGAAAGAATTAACACGGGTCCCGCTGTATTCGAAAATGAAGAGATTCACCCCCCTTCTACAGCAGGTCTCAGTAAAACAGCAATAACTTGACTTCCATTTCCAGATTCAGTTCTGATATTTCTCATTCATTAAAGCCTGTGGTTGCACTTGTCATATTTTGCTGCTTAAATTCTTAATTATACACAACTGAAATAAATAAAACAACTTGTCAACAACTCAGCAGTCAATACAACCAGCCTGTTCACATTAAATAAACGAGTAAGAGATAACGCTGTAAAACAGTCTTCCGTGTACATGGTGTAAAAGCACAAACACTTATTAAATATCATAGTCAAATTTAAATTTGCATTACGGATTAAAAATCTAGTCAATATTTGCAAGAATACTGAACAATGAAAGTTATGGATCAAGAATAATTTGGGACAAATATTTGAAATTGTGTACTTAGATGTCAAGACAAAATAATATCCAAAAGACATTCATGATCCGTAACTTTTTTCCTTCAGTATATAATTTTACCACCTTGAGAAAACATTATGGAAGTGTTCCAATTTGTTTAATACTCCACAAAATTTAAACATAGAATGTTTACCAATTTTGGTTTCATCCAATAGTAGTTTGTTCTATCCGAATCTGTCTAAGGTCGAGTTGCTTGGTTCTATCTGAACCTAATGTCATTGACATCACGACTGTTTGTATTGATGACAAAGTAACTTGCGTTTGTAAAACAACATGAAAATACCCAGTCAGCATTATAGACACATAGCGCAGGATGAACAATGTACACAATGACGCCTACTAAACTGTGGGTGTCGCTACCAGCAACCACATTTGGAACAGCAATGCACCATTCACATATCTTGTCAAAGAGCCATGTATCCGGTATCAGTCTCTATACCATCAACATAGATCGCATCACCTGTAGAGCTGGGCAACTGGACATCAGTGCTCAGACAGCCGCTGTTTCAGTTCAGGTCATGCCAGTGTTACAGGTCAATACTGGTCTTCTTACTTGCAACAATTCTTGTCACTGAATTGTTGTATATCAGTAAAAGGATGCCCTCTACGAAATGCTGACCATATCACGAGTGACTTCAAGAATAAATGTTCTCAAGGATTATATTCATAATTCATTGGATGACATATTTAAAACAATTTGTTTTAGATAATTTAATAATATGCCCGTCACCATTCATTTATACATAGCTGAATCTTTGCATCAATGACCTTTAAAGTAAGGTCAAGGTTACTCTTCCAAGTGTGTGTTAATGACCTTTAGAACAAAGGTCAAGTTGACTTAATGAACTGAGGACAAGGTCATTCACCGTGAGGTCAGCAGCAACTGATCCAAACCATTTCTGGTAACTCATTCAACGAACAGTCCTGCCTGATTGGTATATTGGCAAAGCATGGTTATATTGATAACAAGGACCATGATCAAGAGCATATTTGCAGAACATATACATTCCAATAATATACACTGCAGTCATCTCATTGCCTATTCACCAGCTCTACATACACAAAGATTAATACAGCCAATCAAGAACACTGTCCATCAAAGAATTGCCTCCTGGTTACAATCAAATCCAGAATGAAACACTTCAGCCTTGAAGAGTCTTGAAAGGGAATAGAGTCTGATATGGTATCCACTTTCCCATCCTCAAAAGCTTATCATCAGTTGACTTTTTCTAGAGGGAATCCTTTTACAATTGTCAGCTATTGCTGGAGAACGTTCTTGGTCAGCAAGATTAAACTGGCAATTCCAACACTGAAGAAGCTTCTTCTCGAAGCTTTGTTTCAGCCATTGCACTAAGCTCTGAGTCTGGAGCAGTAAGACCAGCCTACAGCAAATTCCTGAAAGTTTCCAGCACTAGGTGTTCATCCATTCCGCGAAATGCCCAACTCCAGTATAAAGTATGCAGAAACAGTGATATATCAATCCACTGAACACCTTGCGATGCCTGTTTGCGGACACTGTCCAACACAATGCATGATGTGGTGCTATAAGGTGGCGACACCCTACAAGCAGCGGAATGCTAGTGAGAGGAAAACAGTCCCATGTTGGTGTGTGGGGTCTACCTCCTGAATGGCCTGACTCACACTACTCATGTCTCCTGCTCCCAGTACAGTCACACTTTACCTGCAACACACAAACAAAACACTCAGATCGCAGTTGCAACAAAAGTTTGTAGCTTAATGCCACATGGTAATATTTTACCTTCACAATGGCACCCAGGAAATAATCAAATCTGGTCCAAACGATATAGTGCTCAATATTGTAAGAATTGATCCATCGGAATACAACGAGTACATGGGGCGGTGTGGTAGCCTAGTGGTTAAAGCGTTCGCTTGTCACGCTGAAGAACCGGGTTCGATTCCCCACATGGGTACAATGTGTGAAGCCTATTCCTGGTGTCCCCCGCCATGATATTGCTGGAATGTTTCTAAAAGTGATGTAAAACCATTACTCACTCACTCACTCACAATGAGTACACACAACAAATCCCCATGTCTGGCAGCAGGACCCATTAGGTGAATCTTGTTTAATATTGCAGTCAGCTACAACCTGTTTAACCTTGCTGTCAATGACTAGACCCAAGTCTACATCTAGTACATGTTATCCCAATAACTCTGTATCCTACCTGCCTCACAGACTAGTCATATTTTCATAGGTCTTTTGCTTCAGAACATGATTAACAGCAACTCAAAGTTTTTGGGGGAGAGTGAGTGACTGAATGTAGTTTTATGCCAATTTTAGCAATATTCCAGCAATATCACCAGCCGGGGACACCAGAAATGGGCTTCTCTAATTGTACTCATGTGGGGAATTGAAACACTGGTCGTTGGCATGACAAGCGGAAGCTTTAACCACAGGGCTACCCCATCGGCCCTTAGAGGAACGTGATACTCCAGCAATAGAGAATAAGCTTCACCCCTTGTACCATAGTGGGATTTGAATCCACTGATGTCAAGAACCTATCCACACTATGCTACCCCATCCCCCCGTCAGTGAATACGAAGAGTCGGCTACACACAACATGCTTAAGCAAATGTGAAATTACATTTCCAATGATACCTTTGACTGACTGACTGACTGACTGATTGAGTTTAGTTTAATGCCGCTTTTAGCAATATTCCAACAACATCACTGCCGGGGACACCTGAAATAGGCTTCACACATTGTACCCATGTGGGGATTCGAACACGGGTCTTTGGAGTGACGAGCCAACGCTTTAACCACTAGGCTACCCCACCGCCCCAAATATACCTTTGAACAAATTGTAGATCAGGTGAAAATCTAGCAAGGATAGCTACAAAATGATTCTCTAACTTTCTGCAAACAATGTTCAAAATTCAGTGGCTGATGTCTCTACTATGGTATTTGAAACTTAGGGACCTTCTAAATATTTCACTTTCAATCTGAGGCTTATGAAAAGCACAGTTTAATTCTCCTGCTTAATTTTGAAGCTGTTGAAATACACACATCAAGTTTCAGATTCTGCTGAAACAACTGTGCTCTCTGGGTTGCAGCAGTTGTTACTTACGCTGATGCGTCTGCTTTGATGGGTGTGGGACCGTTGTGAGGCATGCCACCTCCCCTGATTCCCACAGGGCCGGCTGGGGAACCACCCTGGTGTTGGCCGGGGCGGATGGGCTTGGCTGAAAATTTGACAACCAGATTAATCAAACAGGCTTTTACATATCTTAGTTTGTGGAGTCTTTTACCAAAAAATCTGCAGAAAATATAAACTGAAATAAGACATGTCATATATAATATTGTTTCTTGTTTATTGCAGTACTCAGCAATATTCCAGCTATAAGGCAGCGGTCTTTGATAATCAAGTCTGGACCAGACAATCCAGTGATCAACACAATTGTGATTACGATGACATATGAAACCAAGTCAGCGAGTCTCACAACCAGATCCTGTTAGTCATCTCTTACGACAAGCATATGATGGGTTGCTGAAGACAAATTCAAACCCGGATCTTCACAGGTCATCTCAGATATAAACAATATTATCAAGAAGCTGAAGGCCCTGGACAGATATTTGGCCAGATCTAGATGGGTCAAAGATCAACAGCCTACCGATTTGTGCTGCATGTCCACGTCTCGCGAGGTTCCTCTGCCTCACTGCCTCCTTGATGCGGTCCACCTCCATCTGATATCTGCAACACGACATACAGCTTAGTGAACTGGTTTCCTAGAACCAGCATGCCACTACCAACCGACATGATACAGAGACATGCAGTTAACACACGACAGCAGCACAGGGGAGAAGGATGCAGTTTAGGGAAGATGAAGCCCCCGGGCCCCCATGGTATCGGACTGTTATAAGGTAGAATGTTGATGATAGTTCAATAAGACAGAATATATTAAGCACAAAGTATCGCGAATGGCGTTATTGCGAGGGATGGCTGTAAATCTTCCACTATGTTGAATGACAACATTAACTGCTGCAAGGACTATGAGCTGAAGATATTCCCACTGTCAAAGGGAGATAATTTCTAGGATGGATTACTTCCCCTTATTGACCACACACGATAATCCATTCATCAGAAGCTGAGGCTGTTTGAAAATTCAGAAAATCTTACATGAAATTATATTTCTCACACACACACACACACATACACACACACACACATTTATTATGGTTGGAAACATAATAAAACAAGAAAAATCAACATTTTCATAACAATCCACTCTCTTAGATAAAAGACAAACTGAACATCACAACAGGTTTCAGTTGAATTCATTCTCAAACACAACAACATGTATTGTTTCAAATTTGGTAATAATGAAATTTAGTTTTCAAAATCATAAATATTCCCTAATGCCTTTTGATCCTAGTAAATGACTGTGAAAACTGTTATAAATGAAACTACAGTGATTCTACTAGTTCCAGAGCAATGATAAAAATATATAATCCATGTAAATATATGTTGTAAATAGATAATCCATGTAAATATATGTTGTAAATAATATTTTGGCAGCATAATGAACTACCATGACTTTTACTAAGGCTAACCTCATGGAAATTATTACGTCTTGTTTGACATTAAAATGCAAAATATTACGACACGTTGAGGTAAATTCATCATATGGACAACTGGGATGGTACTTCAACTATATGATTCTGTTTCATGGCCACAAAGATATAAGTTCCTTTCTTTGTTGTTCAGGCAAATGTTCAAATTTTAAAGCATGTACAATATCTACCCATAAAATGAAGCACTGTGTGGAAAGGAGATATTATTTCAACAAATTTAAAACCATCATGGAAGGTGTAAGAATGCCTCGGTAAAATATACATAGAGTATATATACAATAGTGGCGGTCCGATTAATTGAAATAATCGAAGATTGGTTGCAGTGACTATACGACCAAGCAATCGATCATGTTTTCTCATAATCGAACACAAACAATTCTAGAACACTTGTTTTCATAAACAATATATTTCACAAGGTTGGTTTTGTCTGTTACATTTCATAAGCACTACAAGCTCGTTCCAACTCATGATTGAATATATCTTAAAGACTCTAAGAAATTTATGTTCCTTACATTCTTGTCATCCTTTAAAGATATGAAAATTTGCACCAAAAAACCCCAAAGAACTACATGGTTTTTTTTCCTTATTTGAGCATTAACAAAAATAACCAGGAACATTTCATAAATGACGATAACCAATTATTTTTGATGATTGATCGGTTGTAATAAACCAATCATCAATTATGAGATTTTAACCAATTCCCAACACTAATATAAAAACAGTGTTTTTCTATTTACCAACTGACAAATTAAACCAGAAAATAATAGAAATCATTGACTGCAAGTTAACATCTGGATCTGTGCACGACATGTGATCAAAATCACTGCTGATAGTCTCATACTGAATACAGTGAAAAATGTCTGGTTTTGAATATCGAAAATAGGGTCACAAGGATAATTATTAGGTGTTTGATGCACTATTTAACTTCAGGATACCTTCAAAAAAATTCTACAAAAAATGCAATCAAATGCAGTGCGCCTACTGTGACAAATACTATCTACAGTGGATTTGAAATTCAAACAAAAGATATGTTTCCAACACAGTGTTAGTAAACTGTCACAATTACAGCACTTGAATAGTAGCATGAAATATAGTGTATGGCATAAATCTTCATGTTTAAAAATAAAACATACTATAATGTCGAAAGTGCAAACAACAGTGTTAATGCAATCACCAAAAAAAATGCTTCCTAAGAATGACAATCACAAACAACAAAATCTATTCATGAAGCCTGTTTAACTCCTAATCTGCAGGTTTACCCATTAATCTACACCAAAAGTCCTGTAAAATTTCTTCTCATTTAGTAAGACAAATGACTTTAATACAGATAAAAGAAAATTCTAATGCCCAAAGAGGTTGATTGATAATCTAGCATGACATAATTCAAATTCATTTGTAAACACAAAACACCATTGTATCGAAACACAAATGTTCATCTTGGCTGAAATTATTGTCATCTCTCTACTGAGCCTGTTTAAAAATATTGGACGGTTTAGCTTCAATTTCCTTTTTCCCTATTAAACCTGAATGTGTTTTTGTGATGTTTTCATTACTTTGAATATCATTGCTGCAGCTCAATGCTGAATGAGTGAATCCCTACGTTAATCTATATTGAATGTACCACCACAGTAGTTGTACCATCCTCGATAATGCAGGGTATTATATCTCACGGTGAAGTGAAATTTGGTTTAACGTCAGTAGAATATTTACCATATGACATGCGCATGTGTATAAGCTGCTGCAGCCCAGACTGAAGCTATTTTCATAGTGCTACTGAGATACCACATATGAAGCTTCTACTTATACATACCCTGGACATATGGTATTTTTCACAAGAAAATGGAAGATTGACCATTTGTTTGTTAGTTACAAACATCCTTCAATTATAGTGAACACATCATCACAAGATCCTATACCTAGATCAGACAGTCCAACCACCCCATGTACAGGTGCACTCTGTTACAACACTCACAGTATGATACAGGGTTTAGTCGAAAAACAATATAGTTGAGTGAGTGAGTGAGTGGGAGAGGTTTTACATCACTTCTAGTGTTATTCCATTCATATTGTGGGTGAGATACCATGAAGATCCTTCTCACATCATACCCATGTAGAGAATCAAACCTGGACCTTTAGGATGAGAAACCAATACTTTCACCACTATGCTACCCCACCACCCTTAGTCCAAACAGTAGTGAGTATAACAACATATATCTACATCTCTACCTTTTAGTGACACTCAATATAGCTGTGAACTATGTTATTGGGATTATTGGTACTACACCCAGGGTTGTTCCCCCTTGTTACGGCAAGGCGAAGCGTCTGAAGGTAGAGCTACGTTAGTAGGCAAAGCTATACAGTAGCAACAGCCACTTGACTGCATAGAGAGACAGTGGACATGGTTCTCACCGGGAGTCATAAACAGAATATTCACTGCTGAAAATATATGCAGTTTAGACACTTTGAATTTTCTCTCCACAGCAATTTAGATCAGCAAATTGAAATCATCTGAGTTCAGAAATTATTTCACCTGTAGTTCAGTGGTTTGATGCTGTGCCAAAAACAGGCCTTGATAGGGAACTTGTTCAGATATGATGTACAGTCGACTCTTGCTAAATCTGAGTGCTAGACAGTTTTGTTTTAGATTTAGATTAATCCTTGTATTTCATGAGCCCCTAACTAGAAAGGAAATTACCGGTACATATTCCCTGAGGTCTGAGAGTGAATGCTGTGTTTCGCTGAAGTCGTCAATATCCCCTTTGTGATATTGGGAGTTTTGCCTGTTGTGCATGGCCTCACTTCAAATATTCGTGCTATATGACAGCTTTAATCAATCCTGTAATATTCATGTCTTGACTGTACAATCCAGGGACTGATATCATGAGCATTGAGCTTTGCAACTGGGTCACAGTGACATGCATCCACCAAATCGGTGAGCCTCACCACCTGTCACCTCTTACAGCAAGCACCTGATCCCGTCAGTCACCTCTTACAACAAGCATTGTCACTGAAGACCAATTCTAATCAAGATCCACCCATATGACAGACATCTGTAAATAATCCAATCTGGACCAGACAATCCACACTGCAGTGAACGACATGCCATCAACTGAGTCACTCAGCCTAACGATAAGATCCCACTCTAATCAATATCACCACTGGTGTTCTTACACATTTGGTTGCTTCTGGCCAGACGTTGCTGGGGACCATCAACCGAGACACACATTTAAACCATTCTCTTCTGACTCTAAGGCCAGACCAGTTTTATTTCTTGTTTTACGGATTTTTGTCCTCAGAAAACCTAAATGCAGGAGGGAATTTTTTTTTTAAAATCACCAGTGAAAGCGAAAACCCATGTGAGTGTCCATGTTAACTCTTTTGGTTTCTTTATATCAACTAAAAATAGGTTGAGTGAGTTTAGGTTTCACACTGATTTCAAGAGTATTTCACTTTAATCACATAAACATAAGGATTTTATTATTTTGAGCGGGGAAAATTAACTTATATTTTTTTCGTATTCTTGAAAAAATATGATCGGCAGATCCGTAAAACAAGAAATAAAATTGGTCTGGCCTAATCAACATCCTCTCTGGTGTTCTTACATAGACAACTGATGCATCCATTACACAGGAAGTCTACAATCTGGACAGAGGAACCTGAGAGCGGTTATGATAAAAAGGTTGAAATTCCAGTTAGAAACTTTTGCTCAGTCCCAATGCTACTACCAAGAGTCGACTGTATGATACAGATCATCAATATGTTCAACATATATGGTAATATCTGTTAATGAATCTTTAAACAAGCATCAAGAGGTATTTCCTTGCTGTAAGCCTACTATGAACAGATTTTCATGACAGTGATAAACAGCTAATACTAGAAAATATATCAAAGTATGTCATACTTCCCAGTCTTTCGGACTGATCTGTGGATGATTCAGGTACCAACTTTCCCATACCTTAGTCAAGTCATTCTATACTATATTATTAGTGTTCCAGTAATTAGTAATTGTCGGAAAGACTGTTTAGATCCAACATGCAGTTATTGAAGAGTGAAAGGTGATCAGGCAAACCAAAACACTAGGTTAGACGTGGTGTTCTTGCTGTTTGTTGGTTAAAGCAGACCTTAGCAATATTCCACTATGACTTGTTACTGCCACACTCAGCAATATTCCAGCTATATGACGGAGCACATCATTCAGTGGTTGAATCATGAGCACACAAATGGGATACAATGAACACAATGAGGATATGTGAATCAACAAAACCACAAGTCTTGCCACCCAATCTTGTTAGTGGTGGTGAGGTGAAATTGGGTTTTAACGTCGTGCTTGAGAATATTTTGCTCATATGACGACGTGCATGCGTGTGTATGTGTATGTGCGTCTGCTTGTACTAGCCCAGACTGAAGCTGGTTTTATAGTACTAGCCCACTGAGATTCCATGCCGCAGTGAAGCATGAATACCCCACTCAGACACATTATACTGACTCCGAGCCGACCAGTCCTTGTTGTACCCATTAATGCCGAGCGCCAGGTAGGGACCAACAAGTACCATATTTTAACGTCTTTTGGTATGACTCGGTCGGGGATCAAACCCGCGACCTTCCACTCTCCGGGCGGACGCTCTAACCACTACACCACGGAGGAGGTTCCATCTTGTTAGTAGCCTCATGACAAGCAGCTCTTGAAAGTGGGAACTTGATTTACATTTATAGTGTGGCACTGTTGTTTATTACCTATGAGGGCAAAACTATCAGGGTTCATATTTTTCATATGATGCCCTAGGGCAAAATATCACCTTGTCAAGGTGACGTGACGTCATGAACAAATCCATGACATCACGTTTCTTCTCCGACTTTGTTTTCTCTATGTTTGAAAGTAGATTGGGGTCTATTTTCCTCAATTTGACGACTTCGGTAATAAACAGAATATTATATTCGTGCCCATATCATACTATGTTTACGATACACATGCCTAAATATCGGTATATCCTTAGCTCTCGCTCGGGAAATAACAACATTTAGGCACTTGTGTCGTAAACATAGAAAGACATGGGCAGTCATATCATATCCTCTATATATTAGCCAATGTCAAAACATACATATTTTGCCCTGCCCTGGTTCTAACTACAGTCTGTTACACCATTAAAAACAACTTTGACCGGGACTGGAACCAAGTTTATGGCTTGGTGTTCAGTTTTCAGTGTTTTTCAAATTAGCCCCTTGCAGGAACAGTTAATTATACATTAACAACACAACAACAAATGTTCCGTACCATATATACATATCATTTGCAAATCAAGTGAACATCCCATTAAGATAACGTACTGCTGATCATGCACATTTCACCTGTGTCAAATCAACACAGCTAAATTTCAATGTCACACAAAATACTAAGACTGTTTTACAATTATCACAATCTAGTACTATGAACATCCACCACCAGGTAGAAATACAAGTTAGTTTAGAGATACAGAAAAGACAACAAAGGGAGATAACTCCATACCTCTTCCTGTCTCTCATCGCTCCTTCCTTTGCTTCCTTGAGAGCTGTTTCAAGGGACTTAACTCTCTCCATGGTTGCTCTCAGTCTCTTCTCCAACTTGGGAAGCTCACATCGGAGATCTGCATTGTCACGCACCAACTGGAAGAACAGACACCTCCATGATTAGGGTGTTGCAATAGCTAAAGTGATCAAGAGATTCTGACGCTGAGGGTGCCATATTTCTCATAACAACAACATCATCTTCTACAAACAACCATTGGATTAGTGAGTGAGAAATAAAAATAGTTAGCAATATATATTCAAGCCATGATATGTGGGGAATCAAAGCCTGAACCTTGGTGTGACGAGCCAAAGCTTCATCCACTAAACTACTCCACTGTCCTGAAGGAAGAACTTAGTTCTTACTAGTGTTGGGAATCGGAAACCAAAACCACTATCCATTATCAGAGGACTTGTGGTGAACGATTATCGATTATAATTGATATATATACATTATTAATGAAAACACCCATTTTAAGGATATTTCCCCAGGGTTTGTTTAATTAATGTTTTCATAACTAATACTGTCATGCAATGAAATGCACACGCATAGTGTTACGTTCTTGAGCGCATGTTTGTCTGTGAATATTTGTCAATTTTAATGCTTAGTTTACTTTATTCAGGTGTGTTATACTAAAACCACCAAATTCTGATTAATTGAAAATATGTTTTTTAAATTTATCATCAGTTTTAATCCTTCTTTTGATCGATTTTTGAATATTTTCGATCATCGGAACACCACTAGTTCTTACTTGCAGAAAACAGAGAATCAAACATGCAATGTAAATATGACAATATACCTCTCCCATGACGACCTGACGAATCCACAATAGACAGGTCAGGTCCTATTATAATACTATTACATAATGCCAAGCCTTCACTGGTGAGAGTCAATCAATGAACCAACTTTTCATTCACAGTTGTGACTCCAGACAATTTTTGCCTCCAACTTACCCTCTCTCAATCCAACTCTGACCCATCCTCTCTCACACATGCCCTGAAATAAACCTCCCCTCACACATGCCTCTGAAATAAACAACATGCCCTGAAATAAACCTCCCTCTAACATGCCCTGAAATAAAAAAACCTCTGCCCTGAAATAAACCTCCCTCACACATGCCCTAAAATCCTCCCTCACACATGCCCTGAAATAAAAAAAACCCTCACACATGCCCTGAAATAAACACATGCCCTGAAATAAACCTCCTACACATGCCCTGAAATAAACCACCCTCACACATGCCCTGAAATAAACCTCCCTCACACATGCCCTGAAATAAACCTCCCTCAAACATGCCCTGAAATAAACCTCCCTCAAACATGCCCTAAAATAAAGAACCAACCCTCAGTGCTGCCAAGAAATCAGCCTGGCAACCGACGTCTGCCCAGCCCCTCTTTACCAACCTGTTTGTGGACTTTAGTGAGTTGTTCCAGGTTGTTCTCCAGGAAGGAGATCTTCTGCTTCTGGGCAGCGCTGCCGCTTGTGTCCTCCTCTTCTTCCTCCTCCTTCTTGTTGGCAGACTGGGGACAAAATGAACGCCATTTATAATCACAATTCCATTAACAAACACAGTACATCTCCTCTCCAGGCATCCCAGCAGATCCACACAGATCTTCACACATAAAGACAGTGAACTCACCAGTTTTCAGAGGAACAGAGTATGGACATATGCCGCTTTTTGCAATATTCAGCCAAGGCAAGGGACACCAGTAATTTCTTCAAACAAGCATGGAACAGAACACTAGATAGCATGATGGGCAATCATGTGAACCAGTTGCCTGTCAGCAATTAGTTTGGCTATATGGCAACAGTCTGTCAATAATCGAATTTGGACCAGACAATCCAGTGATCAACAGCATGAGAATGGATCTATGCAATTAGGATACAATGACAACTAAGTTCACCAAGTCAGCAAGTCTGACCCCCAATTCCTGACAAGGAACTTCCCTGTACATTAGCATGTTTTTCCTAGATACAAAAGAGACTGAGATACAAACTTACATCTAAAAATGTGCAAGCTCTCAAAGCAGAGGTACATGGGCATGTTTGATGAAGATTTCCAAAATATGTCTACTAAAGCCCTGGGCAGAGGCAGAGATAAGCAGAATAAATAATACCTAACTGCTTCCAAACTAACCCAGTTTAGCTACAAAAACACTGAAAGAACCATGTTAACATTCAACTGAAGATGCAACTATGATTAAAATAGAGAAGTAAAAAATATTGTGACAAGGATAAAATGATAAAATGTTTGAGACAGTAAGAGCATAAAGAACTGCAAGATTTCTACCTTGTCTACCTTAATACAGGGTGTGAGCAATACATTTTCTGTGTGTTTTGATATAGGACATAAATATATCTGAAGTTTTGTTATTTGTAAAATGAAATTCATTTACAAATCAAGTTATTTTCATTGTCAGAAATCCCTAGGTAATACTTTTTCTCACTTTGCTATGTCCCCTTACAAATGTGTCATGTATTCATGCTCTCTCCCTCGTTGCAACAAATACAATATGGCAGCGACTGACTTTACTAACTTTGACATCGTATAATTGCATAATATCTAATTAGGATCTGCTTGCATAATGAAACCCTTCAGCTCCCAATATATGACAGCAAACACCTCAATATAGTGTAGTATAAATGGTTTGCCAATACACAGACCCATACACAACTGCAAGTGAGGATGTGAATGCCAGGTCTTGACCTGTTGTGCTACTGCATAAATGAAATGAAAAACAATTTTGTTAACATCTAAGAAACCTGATGTAATACCAGTAGTGATAGACAACACTAGAATTAAACAAGAAACTCCAGAGTGAGACTATGTTAGACTACCGTGTCACTCACCCCTGATCCTTGTGAACTTAGCTACAACATTCAATATACACTCACTTTACTTCAACCAGTCATAAAACATTGCATCAGTTACAAATTCAAACCTTTTAAAAACACCAAAATGTCTGAAAAAATCTAATCATACCTGGATACCTTTCCTAATGCCATCAAATGTTTGTAAGGTTTCAAAATTCAGGTTTCCTAGGGGGTGTATTCCCAGAGTGGCCTCTCTGTCTATTACATAATAAGTAAATTCAGGCTCCACTCCGGGAACAACTCGTTAAGAAGGTGTGAAAAAGGGGGCCATTTTGGAAGAACTTGTTAGTTGTCAAAACAAAGAGTTAATCTGCTGATTAATCTCATGGACTATAGTAAGGGCATTTTAATCATTTACAAATCCAATTCTTTTTGTAAAAACCAAAACATCTTAAAACTAACCATACCTAAATACCTTGTTAAATGTCATAAATCAGAGCTCCAGATAAGATTCAGCTTATGTGGGTACTGTACCCATTGTATGTTTTTAGAGTGGGTATTATGAATGTTGAGTGGGTATTTCATTTTCCGTTACCCAATGCTTTCAAATATGTGCATATTTCAGTCTTTTACTCAGCTAAGTATTATGTAATTAAGTAAGTTTACTTAGCAGGTATGTTCTGCCTTATGTCATTCCTAATCAAAACCAACTAAAATATAATGGAAATGATTTCATAAAAATCACTTGTCCTATACTAACAGTACAACTTGATAGCAATCGATGTCTTTTTCATTACTGAAGCGATTTTTATAAATATATTCCATACGCATTTGTTTTAAACTTTTGTGAATCTAACATTTTAAATGCGTAATTGGAAATTTTCTATCATTATTTTACCGGATACACAGCCTATCTGGGCCTCTGATAAATCTTTTAAAGATTTCAACATTAATGTTACCATGGGACCTTATTGACTGTAGTTATGCAATTTTACTCAAGGTACCATTAAAATGTCTTACTTCTAATACAAGCACTGTCTGAAATATATGAGGGTCCAGAGTCCTTTAGGATCTTACCAACAGTATTCAAATCTAGGGCCCCTAAATCTAAATCATATAATATTTAGGCAATGACAAGGACCCTTTGATTTTCATACCTTCTCTCAAACAGTTATTATTTTGAGGCAATATACAAATTATCATATTAATTGTTTAAAATTATTCAGAGTGAGTTAAAATTAAACGTCAGATCGGCAGTATTTCAGCCATATCGAAGACTTATTTAGATCCATTCACAATTATTAAGAGCAATTCCTATAATGATGATACACAAGTATCATCACCAACCCTTTCTTCAAGTGAACTGCCAGATGTCCAACACAGTTCTTAGTTTTAGGTTGTATAAATATATCCATACTGCAGAGGCCCAGATAAGCTGCATATCCGGGTAAAATATTGCATAGAAAATTCCAATTCGCATTGAAAAATATTTGTTAGCATTACCAGTTACACATTTAAAATGTTTGATACATAAAAGTTTATAACAAATGCGTCACGAATATATTATAAAAAAACTTTGCGTAATGAAAAAGACATCGATTGCTATCAAGTTGTACTGTTAGTATAGGACGAGTGTTGTACTGTCAGGTATAGGATTTTTTATGAAATAATTTCCATTATATTTAAGTTGGTTTTGATTAGGTATGACATAAGGTAGAACATACCAGCTTAGTAAACATACTCTATGACATAATACTTAGGTGAGTAAAATCACTGAAATACCCACATATTTGAAAGCAGTGAGTAACGGAAAATGAAATACCCACTCAACATTCATAATACCCACTCCAAAAAAATGCAATGGGTTCAGTACCCATGAGCTAAATCTTATCTGGAGCTCTGATACTGTATGTTAAACTTATTTTGGGCCACTTTTGATTAATGTAATGATGATAAGCAACTCTCCCTCTGCGGGAGATTCAGTACCATGACCTACAGTTCCTCATTGAGAACAAATAGTGTAGAAAGAATTGCCAACCTTCTTGACTCTGTTCTGGAGGTCCTGGACAAACAGCTTGCGCAGGTTGTGCAGAGTCTGGAGCTCCTTGGCCTGGAACAACAGTGGGTTTGGTTATGCCGCTTTAAGAAAAATTCCAGCAACATTATGGCACAAGAACAGGCTTCAAACATCATACCCATGAGGGGAATTGAACCTGGGCACTTTACGTCATCAGCAAATGCTTTTACCACTAGCCTACCCCATGTGATACAGACAACACGTGTGAGTGAATGGGAGAGATTTTTGTTCAGTGTGAAAGTTATCAGCAATCCCAAACACCTGAAAAGCACCTGATCCTGTCTATAAGTAATCACATCAACAATCAAATAATGCTCATCTGGGAAGCTATTCTGAAGAAGGGTCCCTGTTCATAAAGCAATCACTGCACTGTGACAATCTTAATTCCCATACTTTCACAATAGTCATGATGCTAAGATTATGGAGCCCAAGGCCCTGTTACACAAAGTGATCGTAAGCCGAGGTTAAAGTATGAGAGTTACGATCTCTGCATTACGAAAGTTTTGTAGTACAGGGCCCTGTTACCCAAGACAGAAGTGAGTGAAACATGTTTATATTCAAACCAGGCGTGACAGGCAGAGCTTGTTTAAATCAATATTTTAAAATAAAAGTATCCCATTGTGCTGTTTCTACCCTTCTGTTGATAACTAAAATAACTTGTCTCAACTAAGACAAGTCAACATACCACAGTCTCCTCAAGCCCCTTGAGATCCTGCTTGGCTTGTTCGCGGCGGTCCATCTGTAATGAGATCTCAGACAGCCTACTGGTCTTCTCAGCCTCCTCGGACTTGAGCTTGTCGTAGTCGGCCTGCAGTTTCTCCAAGGCCAAGGTCAGTTTCTGGTTGGTCCTGGAAACACAGACAGAGAGGTCAGACTTGCATCACATTCAGTAATGAACGAGGACGTGAGGTGAGGTGAAATTGGGTTTTACGCCGTACCTGAGAATATTTCGCTCATATGGCGATGCATGCGTGCGTGTGTATGTGTGTGTATGCGGCTGCATGTACTAGCCCAGACTGAAGCTGGTTTTATAGTGCTAGCCCACTCAGATACCATGCTGCAGTGAAGCATGAAACCCTACTCAGACACATTATACTGACTCTGAGCCGACCAGTCCTTGCTTTACCCATTAATGCCGAGCGCCAGGCAGGGACCAACAAGTACCATATTTTAACGTCTTTTGGTATGATGCGGTCGGGGATTGAACCCACGACCTTCCACTCTCCATGCGGACGCTCTAACCACTACACCACTGTGCGGTCAATGAACAAGGAGTTACACAGTGAGTGAATGTAGTTTTATGCCAGACAGCAATATTTCAGCCAGAAGACAGTGAGCGGTGTCAAAGAACAAGTGGCACTATTCTACAGTCAGGTCAGACTGGCACCACCAGTAACAGTAACACAGATGGTAAGAGAGCTACACAGTGTGGTGAATGGCTCTTCGTGCAATACAACGCAACCTTTCAACCACTAACCACTGGCATGGAAACCTGAAGTAGTGAACTGAGGCACAATTCTACAGTCAGGGCAGACTGGCACGTCCCAGACAGTTACTGTCAGCAGTAAGTTATACAGAGAGTGAATGTTGTTGTGCAAGTCAGCAATATTTCAGCCGTGGCACAATGGCATGGAAATAATCAAGTAGTGTACAAACAGGACTGACATCAAAGGATCAATCCAAGAAAGTGGGCAATAATGTTCCGAGATGACCACACTCCCAATTCATTTTCTACAAGGACAGATGGATGCAGCCTTAACTTGTCCTGATGGTACTATTCTACAAAGATGTCAGACTGACATTACTGAATCAGAGATTATAATCAGTGGGGAGATGACCACACTTGCATTCCATATGCTCAGATAAGATGCTCCCTAACCCTAGACATTGGTACACTTCATACATCATACAACTGGCATACTGTTTCTCTCTGAGGTAACCGACTTACTCCTTGAGGTTGTCGATGACCCCCTGTTTGTTTGTGATCTCGTCCCGGAGGGAGTTGAGCTGCTTCTGATGCTGCTCCCGGTGAGCCTCCATCTGACTCTCCAGAGCCTCCTTCATCTTCACCTCCGACTGCAGCTTGTCGGTTGTCTCCTTCTCCACCTGAGACAGGGACGTCTTGTGCATTTGTTCTACAAATAAAACAAGAATCAATGAGTAGGGTCATGTTGAGGAGACCCGTCCATGGGTATGATACTGACAATCTAAGGAACAAAATCACGATGAGACAACGTCCATGGGTATGATACTGACAATCCGAGGACCAAAATCACGATCACATCTTCCATTAATTCTGGCTGAGGAACTAAGGGGAGCAACTCTGCAAAAGCTTTAAGCAATGTCTGACATGTGTCAAAGGCTTTATGTCAAAAATCCTTGAACACTCTAGTTTCATAATGACACTAGTACTTACATAAATTGTTATTAGATGATAAGTACTCATTTAAGTATTACATTTTAACACCACCATGCTGCATGGCTAGGCACAGTAATTGTGAGGAGTATATTTCCTGGAATTGAGAGAATTCTGTACAATATTGGTTCTAATGGAGACATACCCTGTGCTTTCAGCTTGGCCACCTCCTCACTGAGAGAGTCAACATTGTCCTGCAACTCTCGTTTCTTGGACTCGATGTCCTGGATGGTCTCTGTGAGAGTGGACATCTTGGCCTCATTCTGTCAACATGCCAAGCAAGCGTTAACTAACTCATGCCTACAATATCCCCCAACTTTATAATCTACTACAGCACAGATCAATGAGTTATTGAGTGCACCAAACAGTGATATTCTAGTCGTTTCCTTTTTGTTTGTTTGTTGTTTTACGCCGCACTCAGCAATATTCAGCTACATGACTGCTGTCTGTAAATAATCAAGTCTGGACCTGACAATCCAGTGGTCGACAGCATGAGCTGCAATCTATGCAGTTGTGATACGATGACATGTCTAGCCATTTCCACCAAATCCAGGCAACAGCTTCAACTGAGACCTTTTACAACAAGTAACAGGTTGCTGGAACCAATTCTCAGTGAGCTACCACTCTAAAACCAGCTGAAGTCTGGGCTAGTACAAGCAGCCGTACATACACATACACACGCATGCACGTCGTCATATGAGCGAAATATTCTCAAGCACGACGTTAAACCCAATTTCACCTCACCTCACCTAATTAACTAAATTAGTCTTAAAATGTAAATGTTTCAGTGGCAGTGAATTAACACAGCATCAAGAATTATACATGTCATCAATACAGTATTGAAATTGATATCATATAGGATGAGGTCCCAACACTTTATTACCCTGGGCTGATCCTGACCAATATTTCTGCCATTTCAAGAATGTCTTCTCTGCCCACAGATATACTCTACCTGCTGAATCTTGAGTTTACACTCAGACAAGTCCTTCTCTGCTTCATCAAGTTTCTTGGAAGTGTCGCCCTGCTGAGACTCCAAGTTCTGAGATCTGTTCACCAACGTCTTCACCTCTGACTTCATCTTGCTGATGTAGAGACGAGCAACAGTGAACTCTTCCTCGATCTTCTCACTGCCACCAACGGCCGGCTGAAACAACCACCACATACTCATATCCGCTGCCATGATAACTTGCTACAGACTAGCAGAGTGTTCACGAATAGCGTCTGACCCTCTGACAAATCCGGCAGATTTGCCAAAGGTCTGATAGAAGTCTGCAACCCACCGACCCCAGTGTCTGACTGTATATTTCACAATAATTTTGACTGAAGTTGTTATATGTGACACTTGTTTGCTGTTTATAAATAATGTTTGTTAATAATTTCAATGCCAATTATAAGAATGTTAAATCTGAAATGTGTGTTTAATTTTATTCAATGGGTCCTGTGCATTTTCAAAGGGTCAGACAGACATCTGAAGCCTTCAGGACCCAATGTCCTGTTACTTTGAAACACCATTCGTGAACACTGCTAGCACCAGGGGCTCCTTTCATGAAGCAACCTTTACTAAGGTTAACCTTAACTCCCATTCTTTAACATTGGTTACCTGTGACTTACGATCACCTTAGTGTTTTGTGAGAGGAGGCCCAGGAAACTATTATCAGCAAGGTAGAGAGTAAATTGTTACCTAAATAGCTGATGTAATATAGACAAGTTCACCTTTCAGAATAACAATGGGTATTTCAGGCCTTTGTTATGCAATTCTACCTGTACACACAGAACAGGTGAACAGACATGATAAGACTTCAGAGAGTGACTGAAAGTACAGGGTTGAAACCATTCTTGGCTACAGTCCAGGCTTTACATCCAGAAATCACTGTGTCCATGTGGTTAGTCAAACCTGGGTCTACAGCATGACAAGCCAGTGCTGAAACCACAAAGCTAATCAAATGCTGGTGGATAGCTAAAAGAATCTATTGTTTCAGGTTTTGATAATAGATATAGGTGTTCCTACCTTTGACTCAGCAGCACTGCCTCCAATGACGGAGCCGATGTCTCCCAGGTCCTTGAGGAGTGACAGCATCATCTCGGTGACTCTCTTCTTCTGGTGGAGACTCGAGTCCTTAAGAGTCTCCAGCTCAGACTGGACTGAGTTCAAGGAGCTCTATACACACAAATGGATACAGTCAGCAAAACAACAAAGGCACTGCTAATAGAACTGGACATCTCACACAATTGTATCTTCTGAATCATTCATGAATACTGCTTGACTTTAGGCTTCAGGATACGTTTAAGATCTTATCATCTACTGCTAGAACATTTTTCTATATTACTAGCAAATTGGATAAAATTATCTTCAAGCTATTATATCACAGAAATTATAAACCACTCAGTTTCTCCAGTCAGGAAGCAAGACAATATGACCTTCAACTCACCATTGTCTGGTTGAGTTCCTCGGTGAGTCCCTCAATGTCGCTGTTCTTGTTGTCCACCTCCTGAGACTTCTGGTCATAGTTCATGGCCAGCTCCTCCAGAGCCTGCAGCACCTCCTTCACCTCATCCTTGGCCGACTCATTGTCTCCCTGGATACGAGCCATCTCCTGCTGCAGCTTCTCATAGTCGGAACGGGAAGCAGTGATCAAGTCCTCCTGTTCCAGCATCTGCTCCTTCAGTTTCTCGATGAGCTGCGACTGGTTGTTGATCTCCTCATCCTGCGGAAGGGATCCGGACATATTTACATACAACAGACTGGATCACTCTCCACCTGCTCCTACAACACCCTACCTTATCTTCCATCTGCTTCTACAACACCCCACCTCATCGTCCATCTACGTGTAACACCCCTACCTTATCATCCATCTGCTTGTACAAGAACCCTACCTTATCGTCCATCTGCTTGTACAACACCCTACCTTATCATCCATCTGCTTGTACAAGAGCCCTACCTTATCATCCATCTGCTTCTACAACACCCTACAATATCATCCATCTGCTTGTACAAGAGCCCTACCGTATCATCATTCACCTGATTCTACAACACCCCACCTCATCGTCCATCTACGTGTAACACCCCTACCTTATCATCTATCTGCTTGTACAAGACCCCTACCTTATCGTCCATCTGCTAGTACAAGAGCCCTACCTTATCATCCATCTGCTTGTACAAGAGCCCTACCTTATCATCCATCTGCTTGTACAAACTGCTTTGTACCCTACCTTATCCGACATCATCTGCTTGTACAAGACCCCTACCTCATTATCATCATTCACCTGATTCTACAACACCCTACCTCATCGTCCATCTCGTGTAACACCCCTACCTTATCATCCATCTGCTTGTACAAGACCCTACTACCTCATCCATCCAGCTCGTGTGTAAGAGCCCTACTACCTCATCCATCTGCTTCTACAAGCTACCTTATCATCCATCTGCTTGTACAAGAGAGCCTACCTTATCATCCATCTGCTTCTACAACACCCTACAACATCGCTCCATCTGCTGTAAGAGCCCTACCATATCATCATTCACCTGATTCTACAACACCCCACCTCATCGTCCATCTCGTGTAACACCCCTACCTTATCATCTATCTGCTTGTACAAGACCCCTACCTTATCGTCCTTGTACCCTACCTTATCGTCCATCTGCTGGTAACACCCCTACCTCATCGTCCATCTGCATGTAACACCCCTACCTTATCTCCATCTGCTTGTCCAAAAGCCCTGTCCACTCCTACCTTATCATCTGCATCTGCAACCCCTACCTCCTATCATCATCCATCTGATTGTACAACACCCTACCTCATCGTCCCATCTACATGTAACACCCCTACCTTATCATCCATCTGCTTGTACACCCCTACCTCATCGTCCAGCTGCGCTGTAACACCCCTACCTCATCGTCCAGCTACATGTAACACTCCTGCCTACCTTATCATCCATCGCTCCTCCGTCCATCTGCTTGTACAAGAGCTCCTGTACCCTACCTCATTCGTCCATCTGCTTGTACAAAAGCCCTACCTTATCGTCCATCTGCTTGTACACTATCTCATCATCCATCTGCTTCTACAACACTCCCACCTTATCGTCATCCATCTGCGTGTAACACCCCTACCTTATCATCCATCTGCTTGTACAGTTGTAACCCCCCTACCTTATCATCCAGCTACCTTATCGTGTAAAGAGCCCTACCTTATCGTCCATCTGCTTGTACTAGACCCCTACCTTATCGTCCATCTGCTTGTACAAAAGCCCTACCTTATCGTCCATCTGCTTGTACAAACCCAAACCATATCGTCCAAGAGCCCTACCTGCTCCATCTGCTTGTACAAGAGCCCTACCTTATCGACCCATACCCCTATATCGTCCATCTGCTTGTACAAGAGCCCTACCTTATCGTCCATCTGCTTGTACAAGAGCCCTTCCTTATCGTCCATCTGCTTGTACAAGAGCCCTACCTTATCGTCCATCTGCTCGTACAAGACCCATACCTTATCGTCCATCTGCTTGTACATAATCAGCTTGGCTTCCTCCCATTGCAGCTTGTCTGCATCATTCATGGAGGCCAGTGAAGGAGGTGGAGGTGGAGGTGCTTCCTCCAACACAGAGGTGTCAGCCGTTTTCATGTCCATTTGCTCATCTGCGGGAACCTCCTTACCTGTGAAGTGAATACACCAAGCTTATAAACACTGATACAAACTGATACGAGACTCAAGGGTGATATCCATCAAAGCAAGACTCAAGTACCACTTCGATGCACCGTAGGCAACAAGACTCAAGTACCACGATATGCATCGTAACAAGACACAATGCATATGGCGATATGCATCGTAATATGCTTGAGATTCAATGGCGATATGCATCATGACGAGACTCAGGTATGACGTTATGCATTATAACCAGACTCAAGTATGACAATATGCTTCGTAACGAGACTCAATGGCGATATGCATCATGACGAGACTCAGGTATGACGTTATGCATTATAACCAGACTCAAGTATGACAATATGCTTCGTAACGAGACTCAATGGCGATATGCATCATGACGAGACTCAGGTATGACATTATGCATTATAACCAGACTCAAGTATGACAATATGCCTCGTACGAGCATCATGGCCCATACCGAGACTTTCAAATGGTGATATGCATCATGACGAGACTCAGGTATGATGAAATGCCTGGCATATGACTGGGAGAGTCATCATATGTATGGGAATGTGAGGTAAGCATGTGATGAGATCCCAGTAAATAGTAACCCTTGTTATTCAGCACTCACCACTCCTCCACATGTTGAGTTCAGCCTGCAGCTTCTCAATAATTCCCTTCAGTTTTGCATTCTTTTCTTTCTCCTTCTCGTAGCGCCTCTTCCACTCATCAGCTGTCAGCTCCTCATTCACTGTTACCACATTCTTGATTGTCTTGGCCCTACAAACATTGATATTCATATGAAAGTTGTGTTATCAATTATATCCTACATTAATATTTGTTATAGAAAAAAGGTTTAATATTCTCACACAATTTTACAAATTTAGGACTTGCTAAGGTTTGCTTCTAATTTTTTTCATGACGCCGTTTGTTAATAATCCATGAAAAAATATGTCCCCACTCACCAGTGATGTGAAATATGTTAATTTCTTTCGTTCCATGTTTGCTCCTAGTTACGTCTTCGATATTTATCGATACTGATCGAGCGATATTTAGTTAACAATTATCAATCTCTATCGTTACCCAGCCCTGAGCCCTAATGATATGTGTCACATTGTATTCCTAGCAGCCCATGTCACCATACAGCTGGACCACTGCTTACCTTTGACCGAAGAGCAGAGTGGATTTGGTCTCAGACTCATTGTATGACGCAGGGGAACAACAGATGATCATGGTGGTTCTGGCGTTGCCGCCCAAACTCTCCTGCAGGATTCGGGTCAGCTTACTGTCTCGGTACGGTACATGAGATTTCTGAAACAGTCAAGTGATCCACTCTGAAACATGGTCATGTTCCACAACTGTGAAGTAGAGAGTGAATATTGATACTGCTGTACAATATCTCAGATAGTCCAAAGCAGTTCATTCTCAAGCAGCGACTGTAAGGTCAGGACCTCAGAAGACAAATCAACACACTAACTAATACATGACACAAGCTATTTACTGTATATCGCTGCATATAGTGCGACCCCACGTATAAGATGACCACCCTCGACAAGCCTTCAAAATCAAGGCTAGTTTATATATCCCGTCCATACCACCACCCTGAACAAAGTACATGAGCATACATGAGCCCTACATTTGCAATAAAAACGTGTATGCGTCACAATATTTTCTTCTGCGATAGATCGCAATGCGTAACGTTTATCTTGAAGTAAAATTGCTATGGCAGTCACAGCACAACAAGGGTCATCAGATGGTGTTGATGTATCAAAGTTACAACACTTCTATGACTAACAAATACTACTTGTAATTAGTATTCAAACACAGATATGTTGAGGTTGAAGAGACCTGCGTAAATACCTCCAGCTATCAGAAGTTGAACACTAAATGATGACTATAGAAGGTTAACGTTGGGACTATAAATTTGTGACAGCCTTAAGTTTGACACAGCAGCATTTGACTGCATTAACAGTATAACAGTCCTTTAATTATGACCCCTCTGGGAACTGGAAGAAAGGACTCACCACTCCATCAGCTAGCGCGGAGATAACATTTCCTAGAGCCGACAGGGACTTGTTTATATTCTTCGCTTCATCCAGCACTGCTCCCCTCAGCACCAGTCTTGCTAACCTAAAAGATAATTACAATCATTTATAAAGCTGGGGTAGGCACAATTACTAGTTGTGAAACTCTTCAAGGACTACTGTTCTGACATTTTTTTTAATTCCAAAACCTGGTTGAATTACGCGAACCATTTGTTCTAAATGAGTTGTGGAATGGTTCTGTTTGGTCCGTGGTGTCCGTCCTTGTCGAGTTGTCAATTTCTTTACTGAGATGTTGAGAAAGAATCACAACTATTAATTAAACAGGGGTAGACACTACCACTATTTAGTCCAAGATGGTGAAAAGGAAAGAACTGGTGTTGCGCTTTTTATCACCAAACCTGGTTATTTTAAACAAACCACTAGTGGGTTCTGGGTCGTTGTGTATGACCAATGGTGTCCATCCTTGCTGAGTTATCCTTCTCATTACTGGTATGTTGATAGATATCAAGCAGATCAGTCTAAGTCAGCTCTTAAAGACTCGTATAGGATAGCAACAGTTTTCCCTGGAGTCCCCAACAAGTTTTTTCTGTAACACAACTTACTTTTTCACTGCCAGCCAAGTCGACTAGATACAGTTTTCCATGTAGTTTCTTCTCTGTCTCTACATTTTCTTGTTTTACATGAATCAGGAACACACTGTGGCTTCTTGAGCTATGCTCATTCATATCTGAAGCAAACCAAATAATCCTATAATGTAGTCAAATTCCAAATTAACCTCCCTAAATTTACATAAGCATCAACTTGAGACTATTCCTGCTATACTGTGTGAAAGACATGATCGGCCAGAATATCGTGACCCCAAATCATGTCTATGAGAATCTCTACAATGAACGATTTAAAGAAATGAGTCCAACATTCTGTACAACTACTTATTAGTTAGTCACATGTCTATTGGACTTTAGTCATCTTTAACTTCCAATTTGAACACTACATTCTACACAACTACTTACTAGTTACAGCAACTGTGGGACTTTACATCATCTATAACCTGCATTATGAACACTACATTCTACACAACTACTTACTAGTTACAGCAACTGTGGGACTTTACATCATCTATAACCTCCATTATGAACACTACATTCTGTACAACTACTTACAGCAACTGTGGGACTTTACATCATCTATAACCTGCATTATGAACACTACATTCTGTACAACTACTTACTAGTTACAGCAACATGTCTATTGGATTTTCCATCATCTATAACCTCCATTATGAACACTACATTCTGTACAACTACTTACTAGTCACAGCAAAATGTCTATTGTTTTTTCCTTCATCTATAACCTCCATTATGAACACTACATTCTGTACAACTACTTACTAGTTACAGCAACATGTCTATTGGATTTTCCATCATCTATAACTTCCATCACCTCCTCCGGACTGGACACAAACCGCTCTGTGCAGCCCTAAAATTGAAGAAGGGCATCACAATTAATGAGCATCGCAAACTGCAGTACAACAAACAAATACATTTACACAATGAAGTTTCCCCCAATATAAAATGTGAACTTTCAGTGTCAACTGCTGTTGAGTTGGGGCCTGATAGTGATTGCGTGAGTGAGTTTAGTTTTACGCTGCACTCAGCAATATTCCAACTATATGGCAGCGGTCTGTAAATAATCAAGTCTGGACCAGACAATCCAGTGATCAACAGCAGGAGCACCGATCTGCGCAATTGGGAACCGATGACATGTGTCAACCAAGCCAGCGAGCCTGACCACTCGATCCTGTTAGTCGCCTCTTAAGACAACGCGTTACTGAACATCAATTCTAACCCAGACCTTCACGTATGGTTTTACGCTGCTGTTAGCAATATTCCAGCAATATCACAGCCGGGGACACTAGGAATGGGCTTCACACATTGTACCCAAGTGGGGAATCGAACCCAGGTCTTCAGCGTGACGAGCAACGCTTCAACCATTAGGCTATACTACCGTCCCTGGGAACTAATATCTTCCCCTGAGCAGCCTACATAAATTACCCCATCTTTGATGAGCAGTAACTATGATAGTCAGTTGTAACTATTAACTGAGTTTAGGTTAACTCAATCATGAAGATTATTTTAAATATATCAAGGCATGTCAACATTTTGTGAAAGATATAAAAAGTAGGTTGAAGATAAAGGTATGACATTTATTCATAACAACTTCTTTATTCTTTGTCGTGACGTTTCAGTACTCCAGTAGCCGTCATAAACTAATCACTGAGTAAGCATATTGAATTAATATCTATACATGCTGATATGTTCCTATAAAAAGGGGTACGCCAATGGAATTACCAGGAGATAAGCCAAATATATACCCGAACCCTGTAGTGATGGATGTGATAAGGATCCGTCTTCAGATTTTTCAACAACTATCAAAGACATGACTAAATGTTCACCACCTCAGAGAACCCACAAGCACGGCTAGTGATGGTGCTGCCAAGTCTAAAAACTGTCTAAACACGCATATCGAAATCATATAGCTTGACATTTTGAAAAACATGTTTCGCATAGCTGCCATAACTATCATTCAAACTAGCAATCAGAGACACACTCACCTTTACATATGGAGTTTTATTCTTATCTTCATGGACAGATAGGTTGGTCTTGGTTACTGGAGAGAGAGAAAGCATTGAATTATCACAGGATGTTTGTTTGTTTGTTTGTTTGTTTCCTGTCAGTCAGTCACATTCCAGTGGGATGACAATGAAATCTGAGTGCTCCCTGATCCACTCACCAGGGTTCAATGTTGTGCTTTATATATTACATATTATGTATAATATATATCATATAAATGTGATTTGAATGTGTGAATTTAGTACATTACAGATAACATAAAACTCTACAGACTACCAGCAGTCATGTAAAATGAGGTTTGAACAGATGCAAAACTATACTTACTGTCAAGTAAATCCCTGATTTTATCCATATAAATTTCAAAATATGACACCTGAAATGGAATGAGATAAACAAGTTGAAATTATGACCATGCAGAGAGTGTTGGCATGTTCAGTAATGGTTGGACAGAAACTAGCAGAAGAAAAAATAACACAGAATGAATATGTTATTCAATTTGCTCATCTAACAAGATTTCTAAGCACAACATAATGATAATTCAATTTAAAATTCAATATTTTTAGGTAACCATATGCAGTCAATATTAAATATATAATACACTAAAACTATTTGATAAACAAAACACAAGTGTAAGACTACAAAAGGCATCTCATATCAGGCCCAAATTTACCTGCTCTCAACATTGGAGTCAGTGACAAGTTGTTCCTCTTAACTACAGATAATGTACTGATCTAAACCAACACGTAAGTCTCTGAATATATATAATTTTGATACAAATGAATAATTCCTTTTAAATTGAAATGAGCCCCAGTGAGATGAGAGATTCAGAGCCTGAGGAAATCTAGACTTGCTTCACTTACTGGGCTTTAGCATTGGAGAAAGGGCTGGGTGAAGGTAAAATAATGCTGTTCAGGGAGTGTGAGACTGACTATGTACTGACCTTGATATGGAACTCAAGGTTCTCATCCATGCCGTAGATGTAGTTGAAGATGTCGGCGATGATGCGAGGAATGATACCTTGCATCTGAGAATGCCCCAAGACACCCTGGAGAGAAAATATTATAAGCTACATGTAAACAAGATCCCAAAAGATATTTGCATTGAGTTGTTTCCGTATGAAATACGATCTTAATAGATATTATCTGAAAAATTTAGTGACGATATTTTAAAACATTTCATGGTATTTTTGATAGTCAAATTTGTAAATGCAAAAGTACACATTCATCTGCGATGCCAGACTAAGATCTTTACTTGATTTACTTCACCTGCTTGGACTTCCAATCAGGCCGAGCCAAGCCCCCTTTAGGGGTTATGCCAAAGAAATCTGTTGCTATGTTTAATCAACTAATACAAGAAGTAACTACACTGAAAGTGGTACATACCTCCATGGTGTGTGTCTTGCCACTGGATGTCTGTCCATAGGCAAAGATGGTTCCATTGTAGCCACTGAGTACATCTGAAACAAACAGAACCAGGTGGTCAGGAACTCAGACAGATCCAGGGTGGTATTCAACGCAAAATACTGCTTCCCATACAACAAGTTATGATAGTCACCATAATACATACTGCATGTCACACAACCCCAAAATACAAGACGTTTTGAAACATGAAAATGTATCGATTTGTAGCATGCAATGTACCTACGATAAAATAACACATATATTCCTGCAAAAGCAATTAAAATCTGGTATTGATATTTATCCTGTTAAAAGCAAGACTGGAACAACTTCTATAAGACAATCTTGCCATAACTATACTACCCATCAAAAGTTTAGACTCACAGTGTAAATGTAGCCACTTACTTCAACCAACTGTTCTAAACTAGATTTTGCAAAATATTAATACTGTTTAAAGGTACTGTTTACACATGAACTGATGTATTGTAAAAAAGTTTCGCAACATTGAAAAGATTATTGTCATGAGTTCAGTAAATGATGAAACAAATCTTTACACCAAAACGCAGCTGTTCACATGCACGTTATTTGCACATGCTTTTCAGAAATTTGATGCATGATCCTCGTGCAATTCATCTGCATGAGGTTTGCAGTTGGTTCCCCTAAGTTAGTGGAAATATTCATCTTTGATGTAACCGTATATATGTACATAACATATAGTGAGTGCTCTAAGTGAGTCTAAACTTTCGATGGGTAGTATATCTTGACTATTGTAAGGCACTGAAAACACTTTGTGTATCAGAGCCCCAGGTCCTATTCCCCAACATAATCCGTGTACTACGAAGTTAACGTTAAAGTATGTGAGTTATAATGGTCCTTGTGCCAAGATCACATTGTGGTATGGGCTCCGGTGCATTGTAAAAAGCGATCTTCACTCAGATAACTCCCATACCTTTCTTACACTAACCACATTTGTTGCACTACGTCATTATGTGTCATAATATTTCAGTTAAGGAGTTCATATCACCTTAACACTTACTTCACTATGTGGAATTAGACTTTGATAATTAGAGTGAGTGAATGAGTTTAGTTTTACTTAGCAATATTCCAGCAATATCACTGTGGGGGACACCAGAAATGGGCTTCACTCATTGTACACATGTAGGGAATCAAGCCAGGTCTTTGACAAGCGAACGCTTTAACCACTAGGCTGCCCCATCACCCCTTTGATAATTAAATTGATGGTATTGTTCAAATGCAATCCAAGAATATTGATGTGGAGAAAACTTAGTGATAGCTTTTTACCCACGTTGAAAGGTGGTGACACAACTTAAAATACTTGTCAGCTGCCGCTATCAATAGCATTCAACCACAGCTCATGTGTGTACACTAAAGCACAGGCCGAACATACTACACAGAAATCTAAAAAGGTGACTGCTTTGTGTTCAAGCCCGAGGAATAATTACTGTTACAGAAGGTGTGGGAAAACATGATCTGTTTCATACCTGAATATAAAATCACGCAGACCACCTTGATAACTTATTATGATCAAGCATGACAGCAGTTTCTCATACATGAATACAAAATCATGCAGACTACTAGATTACATTATTATGATCATGCATGACAGCAGCTTCTCACGCACTGGCTAATGACAGCACCACTCATATCAATATATACAGTAGCCCTACCACAGACCACATATCCAGTGTTAAAAAATAACATCAATGAATGTCAAGTTGCCCTTGCCACCATCTCAGTGTAACAGATGTCTCCAGATTATGACACTTTTATAACAAGAAGCATTCAGCTCCTTGATCCAGCCAGACCGAAAACAAGCAACAGTACAATACAGTCAGATCACACAGTAAAATTATCTATCTTTGTCAAGAATCAAGTTTTCCAAGAAAATGTATTGCAATATATTGCGATACAGGTATCCATAGTGCAATATATATTGCGATACAGGTATCCATAGTGCAATATATATTGCGATACAGGTATCGATAGTGCAATATATATTGCGATACAGGTATCCATAGTGCAATATATATTGCGATACAGGTATCCATAGTGCTAATATATATTGCGATACAGGTATCCATAGTGCAATATATATTGCGATACAGGTATCCATAGTGCAATATATATTGCGTTACAGGTATCCATAGTGCTAAATATATTGCGATACAGGTATCCATAGTGCAATATATATTGCGATACAGGTATCCATAGTGCAATATATACTGCAATATATATTGGGAGTTGTGTTTGACAGTGACATATATTTTCTGCATACTACAGCCCTAAAAATATACGTAATAGTTCTTATCTTTCCAGCAGTATACATGAAAAATTTCTATGAACTAGTTTATAAACATATTGAGAGGATAATTAATTTTAAAAAGCATTCACACACACAATTTAATTTTGATTTAACTTTTATCAATATACAGTCAAACTTGTTTCTTAAACAGCATGAAATGGCCATACGATCACTAGAAGAGATTCACTTTCACACTGCTCAAAATGCCGTTATTAAGAAAAGCCATCCATTATTCATGCACAAATGACGCCAACTCCATGGCCATGAGTCACAGTATTCCAACAGCAACAGTTTGCACATGTACTTTGTCATTCAACAACTCCACAAATGCCCCTTTGTTAACTAGGAACCAACCGAATTTACATTACAAGGTCTATAGAAATGATCCACCTTACTCCTAGTGCAACAAATATTCAGAGCTGCCAACAAGGAATATTCTGCATGCAATACTGTTTATTGGACACTGATATCTGGATATTCATACACAGTAGCAATAATTTATATCCGATCAATACTGCGTTTAGTTCAGACATCTGTTGCTAGCTGACAACACCGTAACAAGCATTTCAGGATTTTAGATTTCTGGTATCGGAGCACAGCATATTTAAAATTGGAAGGAACGGTCAAAATAAGTTCCGCTTTGAAGTCAAATGTAATACAAGTGTGGTGCGGGGGGACAAATGTTCCTCTTGGGAAGTAATCTTGAGTGAGTGAGTGAGTGAGTTTATTTTTAGTTTAGTTTTACGCCGCACTCAGCAATATTCCAGCTTTATGGCGGCAGTCTGTAAATAATCAAGACTGGACCAGACAATCCAGGGATCAACAGCAAGAAAATCGATCTACGCAAATGGGGATAGGATGACATGTGTCAACCCAGTCAGCGAGCCAGACCACCAGATCTCTTACGACAGCATGGGCTACTGAAGATCAATTCAAACCCTGACCTTCACGGGTGTATTTCGTTGTGATGACAAAGACTGAAATAAAGTCAATAGCATGACTCACATGTCATAAGATAAAAAATGCAGCCTAACTTGCATAATTAATGCTGATTGTTATGACATTGTGCTAAGGAAGGCAAATACCATGCATAGGAATAAACATTTTGTACAAATAAATATAAAGGTGTCTTAAATCACACCTTTCATAACTTATTATGCTGACAAAGACTAATCTGAAGTCAATAGTGTGAGTCACAACAGCTGCATGTCTCCCACTGCTGAAGGTTATCAGCCTGGACAACAAGTCATCAATAAATACTAACAGGAAGTTCAACTGATCCAGCATGAATGCCAGTACCTCAGTAACGACATCCCACAAGGAAAGCTGTTTCAAGATGACCGGGCCAAGGTCATATGAATCCATGCATCGGTTCATCCTATGATGCCATCCTGAGACTGAAATATTTCCAAGCACCATCATGGTGTATCATTGTTTACATTGCCCACGAGGCTATTGCTTCCACAAACAACCTTGCATAATGTTCACAGGATCAAACCTTGTAGTTTCAACTGGGTCCTGAGTGAGTGAGTATGGGTTTAAACCTCTTTTAGCAATATTCCAGCAATTTCACGGCAAGGGACACCAGAAATGGGCATCACACATTGTACCCATGTGGGGTATCGAAACCTGGGTCTGCAGTGTGACGAGCAAACGCTTTAACCACTAGGCTACCTCACCGCCCCTTTTAGGCCCTGGGATAATTGGATGAGAGGTGTTCGCTCTCTCGCTGGGTACAAATGAGGGTAATCGAATTAGCTGAGTTTTAATGCCATTTTGAACAGTATTCTAGCTAGATCACAGAACGTCAGCTTGGGAGTCAAGGTCATGCAGTTGTAAGACATGTACCTCTTTTCGTAAAGCCCTTGGTATGATGCTTGAAAAATTTGTACCTGGATACGATCGCATGATAACAGGTTCCATGTGCCAGTAAGTGACATAACTCTATGCAGCAACCTCTCTTGCCTCAAACAACTGAGCAACTCGTGCTCCATACACAAGCATCATGCTTCAAATTCCATACATTGTTTGTAGGATACCTTTAGTTTTGAACTATGAAAATACTGCAAGTGCATTCCAGGTATGAAACTATCAGTTGTGAGCTCACATAATCAACATCAAAATAAAACTAAACCAAATATTTATCCTATAATTATCAGTGACAACTCCAGGCCTAATTGAAAGAGACCTTATTGATTTCTCTGCCTGGCGTGATCCAGTCAGTATGACACAGATATAAGCAGCTCTAGCTGATGGGATCGACCACAGTTCCTTCATGATCAGGTGACCCCTGCATTCTCACACAGATCGATACATCCTACTGGAGGCATGGAGAGCTTGCAGACACATGTACTCGCTGGTACACTTGTCAACTCTGGCTGGTACACAATATATTTAGTTTGGCTTCATTAATAAATTTACTGCTTCAAAGGCTAATTAATTAAAAAAAGCGATGCAGAGCAACATATTTGAAAGTGAGTGAGTGAGACAGAGAGAGAGTGTGAGTGAGTGAGTATGGTTCTATACAATATTCAAGCAATATCCCACAGGGAACACCTGCAATCTGAATCCAAAAAATGTGCCAAAACATGATTATATTTTATATGTTCACTTATGCACACAAAGCAAACAAGTAATGTTTTCCTGCCTTGCAACTGAATCAGCTTTAGGATAGCATTTACCTCAAAACTAATCATAACCAATTTGGCAGTGAAGAGGGGACTGTTCAAAATCTGT